ACCTGTACGGCAGAGCCTGGCAAGCTACCCGTGATGTATTCGATATGCCAAACACAGTAACAACAAAGTCTCCAATGGAGACGTTACTGGGCCCGCTTGAGCAAATTGATGAACAACGGGAGGACAGTGACAGTGATTTTATACCCTATTTTATTTATGATTTTTTTGTTTGTCTTTGGGGGGGGGCTACACTTGGCAGAGCTCAGGGCTTCCTCCTGGCTCTGTGCTCAGGGATCACTCCTGTTTTGGGTGCCACCCAACAGTATTCCTGAGTTATTTCTTGTTTGTCTTTTGGGTGCCACCCAACAGTACTCCTGGGTTATTTTTTGTTTGTCTTTTTGGGGGGCTACACTTGGCAGAGCTCAGAGCTTCCACCTGGCCCTGTGCTCAGGGATCTCTCCTGGTAGTGTTTGGGTGCGGGAGATTGAACTGGGTCAACCCTGTGCAAGAAAAGCATCTTAACCCCTCTGCTATCTCTCTGGCCCCACTATAAAATTTGTTTAAAAGTTGTAAGTCAAGTCGTCTCCTGCAGAGCTCCATCTTGGCCCTCTAGGGCACTGATCTTCAGTTGCAGGTTCAGGGACCACTGCCAGTGAGTGTGTTTCAAGGTCGAAGAAGGCTGCTCTAGGGGTCTTTTGGCCCAGACAGAAGGGTTGGTGTGTCATCCCAGGACTTAACCTGATCCCGTGGCCAGGCGTGCTACCCAGGCCCTGGGAGTGAGGGGTGGGGATCATCATTAGGCAGTGCTCAGGTGGCCGACCCGAGTTTGATTCCTCCGCCCCTCTCGGAGAGCCCGGCAAGCTACCGAGAGTATTCGATATGCCAGACACAGTAACAACAAAGTCTCCAATGGAGACGTTACTGGGCCCGCTCGAGCAAATCGACGATCAACGGGAGGGCCTTTACCTTTACCAGGTTCCTACTGGAGTGTGAGACACCAGAGACTCCGTGCTGGCATCAAGGAAACACCCACCAAGGGTATTCTGCTTTTGTTGGCTGCCTGGCCAAGGAGCTCGCCCCCAGGCTGGCAGGGACCCAGCTCCTGAGACTTGGGGAAGTGTGTCTCATGTGGAAGTGATGCAAAAGATTCAGGAGCAGTGATGACGGGTTTCTCTTTGTCTGTGGTTCCCAGGTTCTTTGATCTTTTCTTTTTCTTTTCTTTTCTTTTCTTTTCTTTTCTTTTCTTTTTTAAATAATGTAGGAGTGCTGCTATTTGTTCAGCCATCGATTAAGCTGATTGAATTGGGCATGAACTCCACATTACTTTTTTATTTTATTGTATCACCGTGAGATAGAGTTACAAAGCTTTCATATTTGAGATTCAGCCGTACAATGATGAAACACCCATCCCTCCACCAGAGCACATTTTTCATCACTGATGTCCCCCGTATCCCCCCCCCCCCCCAACCTCTACATCCCAGTCCCCACCCTGCCTCTATGGCAGAAAATTTCCCCAGTACACTCTCTAATTTGGGGCATTATGTTCTGCTCGAATTTCCCCACCACCATTCAAGCCTACCTGCCAGGGGGAGACGCTAGGTAATTTATTTTCCATCGCTCATTTTGAATATCATGAGAACTCATGGCCACGATTGTAAAAGTAAATTTCTAGGTTGTAAATGGTTGGGTTCCGGAGACAGCTCTGTATGGCACTGATCCATTTTGGGATTCAACTGGGAGTCTCTGGGCCAGGGCTGTTGGTGCACGAAGTGGTGCCTGGAGGCAAATTGTGGGCGTGACAGCCAGTTCACTGGGCAGGCAGGGATCCAGGGAGGGACAGCCCAGGTCCTCTGCTGCCATGTGGCCTGGAGATTTAGCCCTAGAACCCGCATACTGAGGGCCTTGCTTGGGAAAGCTCTTGGTCACTGGGATTCCATCTGGAATAGGCAGGGAGACTGTGTCTGCTCCATCTGGGGTGTCCTGGTGATATTGGCCCAGTGTGGGACCTAGAGGACCTCCGGCGCTGTGGTGTCTTTTGGGACTCTGATCTTTTCAAGAATGAAAACACTGAGTAATAAAGATGCTCAGACTCAGAGTTGGAAAGTAGAAAAGTTCATTGGAAAGTATATGAGAAAGGGTCCCGGGGCTGAGATCTCCAAGCCTGCTCGGATCAGGGCTGAGCATCCTCCACCCAGATCCTCCATCTTCCAGTAGGCAGGGGTCACACCCACCACCAACTGACACCCCCCCGGCCCCCAGTGCCCTGTAATCCCATCAACGGCCAAGACCCAGAGACTATAAAACCCAGCTCCTGGAAGCGGAGCTTATCTCATCCTTACTTTAGACAACCTGACAGGCCACCGAATGTAACCTGCCCACACGGCAGAGTCTGGCAAACTCCCCGTGGCGTACCCAATATGCCAAATACCAGTAACAATGATGGGTCTTATTCTCCTAACCCTGAAAGGGCCTTGAATATGGCACTTTTTAAAATCTCAGGGCTAGAACGAAAGAGGCATTACTGGTGCCTGCTCGAGGCAATCGACTAACAACAGGATGATGGTGATTGTGATATGAGAAAGGAAAAGGAGCTCCCCAGGTGGGGAGGAACAGCATGTAGGACTAAGTTAAAAAGGGAGTCTGGGGTAGGCCCTTTCAAAGGCTCCCTGCATTTCTCATCAGTTGGCAATGAGATGAGAAAGCAAACTGATTTCTTAGCAATTTATGGGAAAGTCCCAGGGCTGTCGAGCTGGTCCAGATCTCTCTGGGCATTGCCCCTTATCGGCTCCCTCTCAACCTAGGCTCCAGGGCAGAGTGTCATGTTCCTGGGAAGCCTGGGGAGTGCTGAGCCATGAAATATGTGTCAGGTTGAGGGGGGAGAGAGAGAACACTTGGAAAGAGAAAACTGTGCCTTCCTCTCTCACTGGCAAGGGGAAACTGAGGCTTCCTCTTTCAAAATGGCTGGGAGATGCTCCTCTCCCTCCTTTTTCTTTTCTCCTTGGAGATGACAAGAGCCTGGGCTGACCTGTGGCTCATACTCAAGCACTTCCCTTGTGTGTGTGTGTGAGCTCCTGGGTTTGATCCCTGACACCTGCACCATTAAAAAGTAATAAAGCGGTGAGGGCTGGCAACAGAGTGTAGTGGGTAGGGCTCCGGCCTTGCACGCAGCCAACCTGGCTTGGATCCTCAGCTTCCCGTATGGTTCCCTGAGCACTGCCAGGAATGGTTCTTGAGTGCAAAGCCAGGAGTAACCCCTGAACGTCGCCGGGTGTGACGCCCCAAAAGAACAACAATAACAACAACAAAGTTGTGAGGTCGATGATTGGAAATGAACAACAAAGTGTGGAGGCAGATGATTCACTGACTGCATTCCCATCTTTGCTCTGGCTGTACCTCTGGCCAGTTCCTGGCTCGGGCAGAGGGATGGTGTCAGATTTCAAAAGGGACCAGAGTGATAGGACAACCGGGGAGGGCGTTTGCCTTGCACATAGCCCATCAGGTCCCCCAAGCACTGCCAAGAGTAATTTCTTAATATAAGAGCCGGGAGTGACCCCTGAGAATCACTGGGTGCGAACCAAAAAGCCAAAACAAAAATAGAACAAAACAAAACCAGACCCCCCAAAACTCCCCAAAAATCCAAACCCCAAACAAAACCAAAACCCCCCAAAAGAAAAAAAAAAACAAAAAACTGGAACAAGGAGCTCTAATACTTATCGACCAGTTTGTTACAGATGCTTTTGTTGTCCTTTATGTGCAAGCAGTCCTTCCCTATAAGGAAGATTCCTTTATTTGAAGATAAGGAAGCCACATTGGTTTTTTTTTTTTGCTTTTTTGGGTCACACCCGGACATTGCACAGGGATTACTCCTGGCTCTGCACTCAGGAATCACTCCTGGCGGTGCTCGGGGGACCATATGGGATGCTGGGAATCGAACCCGGGTCGGCTGCGTGCAAGGCAAACACCCTACCCGCTGTGAGGAAGCCACTTTTAAGGGATTGTCACTGGCAAACATTTATGTAACAGTAAATGTGGTCATAGAAGGGACCTTAAAATTAGTTATCCACCCTGGGATCCTCATTTTTTGGGGGAGGGGGGTGGATGTGGGGGAGGCGGGTCCACAAACGGCAGTGCTCAGCGGTTACTCCTGACGCTTCACCAGGAATTACTCCAGGCAGTACTTGGGGGCCTGTATGGGATGCTGGGGACCAATTTCACTTCTGGCGGGCTTGGGGGCACCTGTGGGGTGCTGGCGATCGAACCTGTGTTGGCTGTGTGCAAGGCAAGCACCCTACCTGCTCCCTGCTGTGCATTACTCGGGCCCCAGAACCCTCGTTCTTGAATTCGGAGTTTCATTTGACCTTGATTGTCCTGAATATTTGGGTATTTTTAATTCAACAACTCCCCCTTCCCCCGCTGTTTTTCCCACAGTCCTAATTCTTGGTGTTTGTATTTTGTGAACTGTTTTTAACTCTTTTTCCCTTTCACTTTGTGGGTCAAACTCAGAGATATTCAGGGGTTAGTCCTGGCTCTGCACTCAGAAATTACTCCTGGGAGTGCTCGGGGAATCATAGGGGATGCCAGGGATTGAACCCAGGTCGACTGCATGCAAGGCAAACGCCCTACCACTGTACTATCGCTCCAGCCCTGTGAAGTGTTTTTCGAAGCTCTTGGAGATGCTTGGTCTACACTGGGCTCCTCAGTAGGAGCGTACCTGGCGCCTGGGGGCTCTTGCAGTAGAGACAGGAGAACCTGGCTGTCTCTCCAGCTCCCCCACTTCCTGGGGGTCCACGGATGTGTATGAGCTGGAGGGGACCCAAGACTCCGTGGAGAGAGGAAGGGCTTGGGAGAGGGAAGTCCAAACCCTTCCCTTCTGCTCGGAGGGTTTGGTTCCCCTTCCTGCCGGCTCTGAGAACGCTCCCCCAGCGCTGTCAGACAGATCCCAGCCGGCCCCAGGTCAGCCGAGGGACTCCTGACTTTGCCACATCCTGACTCTGGAACCCAGAAGGCGCTAGTGGCTCAGGACTCGGGCCTGAAGGACTTTCTCCTGTTCTTCCCTGCAGGCCGGGAAGCCGAGCTCAGGCTTCCAGAATGATCAGCGGCGCCGCAGAGGAGGGGGAGTAAGCCGCCGCTCCGTGGGCGGTCTGCCATGGCCTGTGAACCCCATGTGAGCCCTGGCGGGGCAGCCGGCCCACTGCCCACTTCGATTTCCGGCTGGAGCCCCCTGCCTGCAGGCAGTCCTCCGGGCTGGGGCCCAGGTAAGAGCACAAGCCTTCATCCCCTTCTCACGCCCCAGAAGCCTGAGCCCAACTCACACAGAGAGCTCGACTGAGGGGAGGGGTGGAGGGGGGGCACGCACACACACACACACACACACACACACACACACACACACACACACACACACACACGCCTTTTGATAAGGGTGAGTGTTGGTGTGTGTTTGATTCTGCAGGAGCCGCGTTTGGCGGTGCTGAGGGTGGGGGGCCGGGGCCTCTCCTAATGGTGCTTCAGCGGCCTAGTTTGGTGTTGGGGTCTGGCAGGGCTGGAGGGCCACCAGGGCTGCCCCCCGGTGGGATTGGGGAACACACAGTCATGGAGATCAGATTAGGAGCCCCCCTCAATGGCAGCCCCAGCCCCGCCTCAGGGTGGGGATTACGGGGAGACCATCCAGCTTCCATCCTGGTAGCTCTGGTTTCCTCCCCTCCTCTAGCCATTCTCCACATAGTTTTGGGAATGGGCTCGTTGGCGTGGACACAGGCCATGCCACCTTCTGCTCTGGGTGTGTCTGGGTAGAGCAGGATCTTCCTCTGTCCCCCCCCCCCCTCCCCCCAGCTTCCTGCCTCTGGGACTCTGCACCTTTGTACTCCTCTCCTTTGACCCTTTCCTGCTCCTTCCCCAGCCGCCTTCCTTTCCCCTCCCCCTGCAGTGCCAGTTCAAAGATCCCTTGAGGAACCCTCTCTCCCTGCCGCTTCTTCCTGTCTGTATTTAACTGACCCGCCCTGAGGGATGGGTATTGCATGCCCAGCTTTCTCCTGAGGGACCACAGTTCCACAGAGCCAGCAGCCCCTGTATCCCTGTATCAGGGCTTGGCCTCCCAGTGTTCTGTTGCATGACTGAGTGAAGGTCGAGGGTCTGGGGTAGGGGTGGGGGGTGGGGAGAGAGAGACACACACTTGGGCGCCTGAGCCTCTGGACTGGTTCCTGTAATGACTTGGTTGCTGAAAACAGGAGCTGCTTTTATTACTGCGTCTTATTAGGAAGTAGTTTACACGCACTCGCCCCGTAGGATGGAATGGAAATATTTTCCGTCAGAACTTTAAAGACTCTGCCCCCTGGGTTCCTGGCAAGCCAGTTCTTGCTCCTTTGTTGGAAATTGCTTCCCACCTACACACACACACACACACACACACACACACACACACACACACGGGGAAGCTTCCAACATGTTTCAACACCAGTCCCTTCACCAGTGTCCACTGCCCTCCACCAATGTCCCCAGTTTTCCTCCCAGCCCCCAGCCCGCCTCTGTGGCGGGCACTTTTTCCCTCTCCCGGTGTCCCAGTGACCCCTTCTCTAACTTATTTCCCCCACCCCCGCCCCAGTGCCAGACTTCCTCCGGAAGACCAGTTCTGATCTTCGTCTCTGCTGCCTTTGCTTGTTTTATAGCCATATAGGAGAGGGTCACTCTGGGTCTGTTTCTCCCCCTCCGACTGATTCACGCAACGTGCTTGCAGCAAATTGCATGACTTCATCTTTTCTTAGGGCCGAGTAGTATTCTATTGTGTATACGTATCATAGTTTCTTTATACAGGTCATTGGTTCTCAGGCGCTTGGATTCTTTCCAGAAGATTCCGGCTGTTGTGAATAGTTCTGCAGTGAACGTAGGAGTGCAAAGGGCTTATCTGGATTGTGCTTTAGAGTCAGGTCTTTTTTCCGTAATCTAAATGTTAAAGTTTATCTGCGGTTTTTATATAAAGTCTCCCTCCCTCCCTCCCTCCCTCCCTCCCTCCCTCCCTCCCTCCCTCCCTCCCTCTCTTCCTCCCTTCCTTCCTCTCTCCCTCTCTTCCTCCCTCCCTCCCTCCCTCCTTTTCTTCCTTCCTCTCCCTCTCTTTCCTTCTTTCACTGCAGAGTCACGTTAAAACCCTCCACTCCCCACAACCCCTTGGGCTTCCTCCGGCCCTCCACCACCTCACCCCTGCCTTGTGGCTGACTTCAGTTCTGTCAGCAGAGTTTATTTTCGTTTGACTTTGTTCTCTGGCTTTTTCTTCACATCCACATATATGGGAGCAGTTTGTTTCTGTTTGTTTGTTTTGCTTGGGCGGGGGGGGGGGGGGGGGGGGGGGGGCTCACCCTGCCTGGATCTTGACTTGCCAGACCTCCGGTACGCAAAGTCTGCACTCAGCCCTTTGAGTCGTCTCCTCAGCCTGATCCTTCTAACTTTCAAGTTTGGTTTTATTTATGATTTCTCTCTGTGTGCTCCCTCCTGCCTGCCCATCGTCCATGGTGGTGACACAGCGGGGCTGGTGGCTTCATGCAAGCCTGGTTGTGGGACTGGCTCCTTGAGCTCATCGGTACATGCATGCGTGTGTGCATGTGTGTGTGTGTGTGCGTGTGTGTGTGTATGTGTGGTGGTGTGTGTATGTGATGGGGGGCGTGGAATGTAGGGTGGGGGTTGGGCCTGCATCAGGTCCTGGTGCTCACATGCTTGCTCACCAGCCACACTTCCTGTCTGTGGCCCTGACACCTATTTTTAGGTGTGGTGCAGACAGTTTTTCTCCTCCTAACTTAGCTCGGCTAATGATGCCCCCTTTTCTGCATGTGGCTGCAGAGGCCAGATCCCAGCCTTCCTGAGGCCCCGTGGTGTGCCTGCTGGGCCCCCCTGCTGTCGAACATTCAGCTCTTTCCCCAGCTCGGCCCATGTCAGTGCTGCCAGTGAGTGGACGGGTGCAGCCCTGTTTTCAGATCAGCAGAAAAGCAAGCGCTGCTAAGAGGAGCTCTGGCCCCATCCCCAGTTCCGCAGCAGGCTGAGAAAGGTTATTGCCGCGCGCCCAGGAACCCAGGATTTGCAGAGCAAACAAGGACGGGGCGAGCCTTTGCATCTTGGACAAACACTGCGCAGTGCTCGGGCCGGGCTGGGGAGGCTCACGTGCTTGTGGATGCTCGTGGTTTTCCGTTTGGTCCTGGGCGGGCCCCCTCCCATCTTCCTGAACCCCCCCCCCTTCTCTCTCTCCCATTCCCGTGGCAATGGGGAGCCGGGGAGCAGCCGACCGTACCTTTCTCATGACGCTGGGGAGGAGGGCTTCAGCCTTGAGGACCTGCCCCATGCCCGGCCCCTGATCTGATCCACTTTACCCGCATTTGTGCTGTTTCCTTCCTGTTCTTTTTTTCTCTTTTTGTTCAGTTTCCTCTTTGATTGACATCCTTAATTTTATTGATTTATTTATTTAATAAATAGGCAACAAATCATAGAGGGAAGTATATCTGTCTATCTATCTATCTATCTATCTATCTATATTTTGGAGAGCCCGGCAAGCTACTGAAAGTATCCCGCCCACACAGCAGAGCCTGGCAAGCTAACCATGGCATATTCGATATGCCAAAAACAGTAACAATAACGGGTCTCATTCCCCTGACCCTGATAGAGCCTCCAATACAGCGTTGGAAAAGATGAGTAAGGAGAGGCTGCTAAAATCTCAGGGCTGGGACGAATGGAGACGTTACTGGTGCCCCCTCAAGTAAATTGATGAATAACAGGATGACAGTGATACAGTGATTTATTTATTTTAGTTTGGGGGCCGCACCTGGTGGTGTGTGGGGCTTACCCCTGGCTCTGCACTCAGGGCTCACTCCTGGAGACTCAGGGAACCATAGGGGGTGCCTGGGATGGAACCCGAGTGGGCTGCATGCCAGGGAGGTACCCCACCCCCGACTGTCTCTCCGTTTGTATTTTTGAACATATGATTTGATCTCCCCACTTTTCCTTCCTACAAGGCAACCTTCAGTTCTTTCCAGAGCGGAGTGTGGGTCGGGCAAGGGGGCCTGTCTGCCAGGCCCGGCTCCAGGATGGGGTGTCCTTCCGGGTGGACTCTGACCCCGGCTGTGTTTATCCCCTTCAGCTCTGGCTGACCTGGCCCCCTTCTCAGCGGGCACTGTGCCCCCAGCTCCTCCTGGTGAGCTGTGGTTCTGAGGTCAGAATTCCCTCCTGGAAGGCACCCAAATGTGTTGAGTGAGATGCAGCTCTGTGTGTGTGTGCGCGCGCGCGCGTGTGTGTGTGTGTGCGCGCGTGTGTGTGTGTGTTGGGGAGGTGGGGGGGCCGCATAGTCACCCCTAATCAGGCAGGGCTGGGGTTTCTAGGACTGCTGTGACACAGACTGCTGATGGGGACCGTAGAGGCCAGGCCTGGTTCTGCTCTCACTGAGCTGAACCCGGCCCCGCGTCCCCGCTCCCCTCCTCCTCTGCCTTCCTTTCCCCTCCTGTCATCCTTCCCCTCCTTCCCTCTTCTTTCTCCTCCCATACTCCTTCGTCCCTCTTCCCCCCTCCTCTCCTTCCCTCTTCCTCTCCTGGTCTCCCTCCCTCTCCCCCTCTCCCTCTCCTCCTCCCTCCAGCCTCTGCTACTTTGCAGGACTCTGGTGTTTGCCTCAGGACTGCTTGGGTATTCCGGGGTAGCCTTTCTGTTTAAGGCCCACTTAGTCACTGCATTGCCTGTGAGGTAACACACATCCCCTCGGTTACTGACGATCAGAGGCTCTAGGCACTGACCCCTGCCCCTCCTTTGCTGGGCCTCTGCACCCACCAGCAGTGACAGCAATTGGGGTAAATGCCCACTCAGACCCCCAGAGCAGCTCCTTCAGAGGGCTCCCACCTCCTCCTGTTCCCCATCTGGGACATTCTTTTTTTTTTTCAATTTTTTTGGTAATTTTTTAATATTTTATTTTCATAACGTAGTTCACAATAGTTCATTGCAGATAATATTCAAACACCATTCCCACCACTGAGCACCTTCCCACCACAATAAGAGGGTGAAGGTTGTTGTATGTTGTAGTTCATTCTGGAGCCATTAAAGCCCATATATAAGAGAATGGCTGGAGCGATAGCACAGCGGTAGGGCATTCGCCTTACAAGCAGCCAACATGGCCGACCCGAGTTCGATTCCTCTGCCCCTCTCGGAGAGCCCGGCAAGCTACCGAGAGTATTTGATATGCCAGACACAGTAACAACAAAGTCTCCAATGGAGACGTTACTGGGCCCGCTCGAGCAAATCGACGATCAACGGGAGGGCCTTTACCTTTACCTTTACCTTTACAAGCAAGTATGTTAAAACCAAACAAATGAGTGCTACTTTTGGTACTAAAGTGGGCTAGAGTATAAGAGGTTGTGTGGCTGTGAATGAGACCGCGTTTGAGGCCACGTGCTCCAGGAAATTCTGCGGTGCTCTCTTCCGGGAGCTTTGGTTTATAATCTCCAGATCTTGGACATTGATGAGATTACCTCGCGCCAGGGGCAGTTTGTGGGTGTGACTGCCAAGCTACTGGAAAACTGGGGAGCTGGGGGGAGGAGGCCCAGTTCCGCCCTGATCTCAGGCTTGAGAGATCAGGCTTGGAGATCTCAGTCACAGAAAACCTGCATACCTGGGTTTTCTCTCAGATCCCACTTGGGTGAGGCATGTGGAGAGTGGCCTTGAGCCACTGGGTTGGGTTCTGGAGGTTTTCGGCTGCTGGGGTTCTGCTTGGGGCGGAGAGGGAAACTCAACCTGCCCCGTCTGGGACATTCTTACCAGGCCTCATACTGTGCCCTGATCATGTGCGCATCCCCCATGCTCTGGGCCCTGCCAGCCTCTTCTCGGGTCTGGGTCTGTACAGTCATGCAGTCTTTCATGCAGTCTTCTCCTGGGGTGTGTGTGTGTGGTGGGGGGTGGTTTGAGGAGGACTATTGTGTCTCCTCTTCACAAGAAAGTTCTCACTGGTGGAGGAGGTGTTGCTGGCTGGGCGGTGGGGGGGGTGGGGTGTTGCTGTCTAGTTCCAGGGCCGGGGGTGGGGTGGGGCATTCTCTCCAGCGGAGGCTTCCGGTGCTTGCAGAGCTGCACAATGGGCAGGTTCTCACGGTTCTCCGCGTGGACAATACCTGCGCCCCCATCTCCTTCGACCTGGCAGCCGCCGAAGAGCAGCTTCAGACCTGGGGGATTCAGGTGAGTGTGACCCGTCTTCCTCCCATAGGCCCTCCACCTGCACTCTCTCTCCCAGGACCCCCTCCTTTTTTTCCCCTCTTGCCTCCTGGGGGTGCTGGGGAAAATCAAACCTGATCCCTAACACCTGCAAGGCATGTGCTTTACCGCCTAAGCCCCAGTTCCTGGAGGAACAATTTTCTTTTTTCTTTGGTTTTGGGCCACCCGACACCCGGCGATTCTCAGGGTTTACTCCTGGCTCTGCACTCAAGGATCACTCCTGGCGGTGCTCGGGGTGCGGGGGGGCCCTATGGGATGCCGGGGATGGAACCCGGGTGTGCTGTGTGCACGGCAAATGTCTGACCCGCTATACCACTGTATTATCGCTGCAGCCCCAGAAGAACATTTTCTTAAATGTTAGATTTTAGATTGTGGGCTTTTTTTTTTTTTTTTGAGAAGGAGAAGATCATACCCAGTGGCATATGGGAGCCCATGTGATACCTGGGCTCGAGCCCAGAGCTCCCATCTATGAAGCTTTCATCCAGCCCTTTGAACTCTCCCTGGGCCCTAGATTGGGTTTTCTAAACTGACGCATGGTTCACACACAGTATTCTGCTGTGTTCCCGAGGATCTCCTCTGTGCTTCAGTTCTGTTTTCTGAAGCAGGCCACCCTCCCAGGGTGCTCGGCCTTGCTGTTAGCCCGTGATTTTTCCGTTCATTATGCTATAGGAATTAGCGTTGGTCCCTGAGCTGGGGTCATCAGCCCTGAGTGCTCAGTGTTCCCTCTGGGCCTGGCCCGGGCCAGGTACACACTGCCTGGAGACCCATGGGCCTCTCTGAGTGGACGCATACACGGTGTAAGCTGGAGAGCTGCCCCTGTGATGGGTGTCATTATAGCATGAACCCAGGGCCACTGCACAGTGAGCAGATATTGTGCTGGGTGAATGATTAGCAGTCCTGTCCTCGGAGGTAATGACAGAGCCAGGTGTGCCAGCCCTCCTACAGTACTGAGGCAGCGTGACCTGTGCTTTGGAGGCTGTGTGAATAGTGTTCGATTGTGTCTATCGCATCTTGAAGGTTTTTACTCCTGGCTTATCTTCTTGGCGCTGCTGGACCTCCTTTTCCCCGGGAGGACACTCAGGCTCCTAGAATTGGGGCTGCTTGGGCCAGGTCTCGGGCACCTGGCCAGTGGGAGTCGGGCTGCTGACCCCAGGCTTTGAATCTGGGATCCCTCTGCAGGACACCCTTCAGATCTCTAGCCACCGCACTGCCCCTCCCTGACCCCCATCCTGCTCCAAGAGAGATCTGCCCTTGCCCTGCGATTTCCACCTCGAGCTCTGAGCGCCCTCCCCTCCTTCTGCCTCCAGGGCAGGCCCTGCCCTTCCTTGCCTCCCAGTCTCGAGGGTTGGAGATGGTGGTACGAGGTGGGGTCCGCTTCTCTCCAGCACGGCCATGCCATCTCTTTCTCTTGGGCACCCGCAGATCCCCACCGACCAGTACAGGAGCTTGGCCGAGAGCGCGCTCCTGGAGCCCCAAGTGAGGAGATATATCATCTACAACTCCAGACCGATGCGGCTGGCCTTCGCTGTGGTAAGGAGGGAGGTACCCCCTCCCGACCCCCCTCTGCTTGTGCTTGTGTCTCCCACCCCCATCACCCCTGCCGGGGCACCAGCATGCCCTGGAACCTTGTGGGCATAGGTAAAGCAGTTTGGTTGCTGGTGCTGCCCCGGAGGGAGCCGTCTACATTCTCTGAATTTGGTGTAAGAGGAAATTTTAGGGAGATCGTTGTAATGAGGCTTCCAAGAAAAGTGGGATGAGAGGGTGCCAGGGGGTTGGGAGTGTGTGGGCTCCCCTGGACTGTAGGCTCTAGGTCTGGCTTAGGTCAAGACCTGCCTCTCGTCCTGGTCACGAGAGGCTTGTTTCAGCTGTGGTCCTGCATGTGTGTGTGTGTGTGTGTGTGTGTGTGCGCACACGTGTGCGTATGTGTGTGCATATGTGTCTGCATATGGACACATGGAGGTATACCTATTGCCCTCCCGTTCATGCACCTGTGAGCAGACGTGTGTGCGCAGAGCCAGTGTTTGCGCCCAGCCAGTTTGGATAGGCCATTTGTCTGGGCGCGAAGGGGCAGAGGCGGTGCCCGACTCCCTCTGGGCTCTCGGGTGGGGAAGTGAAGGCAGCCAGCAGTTCTCAGCCCTCTAGTGAGCACCAGGCTCTGCACGGCTTTGCAGATGGTTCCCGTCCTCATTCTTCTTTGTGGTGCCAGTGACTGAGTGAAGGGCACCATGCACGTTTAGTCCAGCGAGGCGGGCTTGCTGTCCCTCTGGCCCCACCCCAGGTGCCTCCCCACATCCTGTCTGCTCTCTTTCACCACCCCGTGAAGGAGGCATCACTAGCTCCGTTTAGGACCAGGCCACCGAGGCCCAGGAGGGTTCAGAACTTACCCTGCCGATGCTTCCACATGGCTTTCGGGTTCGAGTTTGCCTCATGCCTACACCCCTGCTGTTTTGTCTTCTTATTGTTTGGTTTGGGGGCCAGGGATCACTCCTGGCGGTGCCGGGGATCCAACCCAGTATGCAAGGCAAATGCCCTACCAGTTGTCCTATCGCTCTGGCCCTTTCTGTCTTATTTTAAAGTTGGGGCAGACAAGGGTTTGGAGAAGCTCTCTGAACCCTTAGCTCAGGCTCTGGCTTGTGAGCAAACCGTGGCTGGGTTCTTTCTTCCTAAGCTCCCCGGAGAGTGTGGGAGCGGCAGGGAGAAGGATCTGGCTGAGGGTGGCCCTTTCTCTGGCTTCTGCAGGTCTTCTACGTAGTGGTGTGGGCCAATATCTACTCCACCAGCCAGCTGTTTGCCCTGGGCCACCACTGGGTGGGCATGCTGCTTGTGACCCTGGCTGCCGTGACCCTCACGCTGACCCTTGTGCTCATCTTTGAGAGGCAGCAAAAGAAGGTGAGATGTGTGGAGACCCCCACCCCCCACTCCCTGCAGGGGGATCATTTGAGAACCCCAAGTCCCATTTCCCTCTTTTTGTTTTCGTTTTGGTGAGGGGTGGGGGGGCACATGCAGTGATACTGAGGGGTTACTCCTGGCTCTGCACTCAGGAATCACTCCTGGTGGTGGTGCTCAGGGTACCATATCCCGGGATGCCGGGGATCAAACCCCTGTCAGCCATGTGCAAGGCAAGCACCTTACCTGTGGTACTACCTCTCTGGCTCCTGTTTTATTTGTTTTTGAACTTAGAATTTATATTTGCTGACCTGTAACTCATCAGACTGTCTGGTGATCTTTTTGTGTCAGAACACCGAGATTCATCTCCCTGCGTGCTAGACATTTCCCAGTGAGCCTGAGTGAAGGGCACCCCCAGACCCATACCCCTCTGTGCTCGGCCACCCCACTTTCAGCTCTTACAGCCTTTGCACACATCAGCTTCACTTTCAGCTGTGCACAATGCCAAGCTGACCTGAGATTTGGGTGTGGAGATGAGGGTGTTGGGGCCACACCCGGTGGTGCTCAGGGCTCACTCCTGACCCTGTGCTCAGAGCTCACTCCTGGCAGGGCTCAGGGAACCCTGTGGGATGCTATTGATTGAACCCAGGTTGACCGCACGCAAGGTAAATACCTTACCCACTGAACTATCACTTGGGATCCCCCATTTGTCTCTTACCCGCCTCAAAGACTGGTCCCACCCATGCCATCCACCCATCACAGGGTCCACCCTATCTTTCCGATTCAGCGCTCCCTCCTGCTGTGGCTGCATTTCTGGCGAGCTGTGTTGACAGCATTTCAGGGCAGGAAGGAGGGTCCCCCAAAGCAACCTGCCTCAGGTGCCAAGAGATCCCTGAGCCCTCTCCAGTCCCTCTTCTCTGCCCCAGACACTCAGGAGCAGGCAGAGGCTTGGCCTGAGCTCCCCTGGGCATGTGAGGTGCCCGAGGTTGAGGTGTGAGGACGGGCAGCCAAGGCTGACCTGACCCTCCGACTTGACAGTCTTATCTGTACGAGTCCCGGGAACAGCCTCTGAAGATCAGGTTTAGCAAACTCAGGCTGCCGTGTGTGGTGCAGCGGTGGGGGGGTCGGCATGCCCCACCCTGAGCCCTGGGACTCCCCGTCTCATTCATGCAGGAGACTGGTACAATGTGGTTCGGAGAAAGACTCCCTAACGCCTTCCTCAGTGTCTATTTAATTGCTCGGGGGGCTCTGCCCAGGCCTATTTATTAAAGGCTTTGTGGATGTTAACTCATGAACCCGGGTGAAGTCCCTGGGAGAGGCGCCTAACTCCTCTGGCAGACGTGGGCACCACCCACCGGAGGCTATGGAAGTCGGGAGGGGCGGCCAGAGTCACGAGGCTCGTAAAAGGCAGAGCTGGAATTACAGCTGGGAGGCTTAACCTCCACGCTGCATTCCCCATGCAGAACCCACCCATCTCTGTCTTCTCCGGCTGCTGTGCAAGGGGTGGGCAGTGCAGCGGCTCCAAAGAACAGCTGCTCATTACCTTCCTGTTCTGTCAGTTAGAGCATAGAGGGGCCAGGGAGGCCATGCAAAGGGCTGGAGCACATGTGGGAGCCTCAAGTTCCATTCCAACACCAGACAGCCGCCCAGCTCCACCGGAGTGGATGCTGAGTGCTGAGCTGGGAATAGCTTCGTAGCTTCTAGCACCAGCCGGTTTGCCCACCCTCCACCTCCCGCGTGTCCCCCACAACCCAAACCAACATTTTTTTGGGGTCACACTCAGCGATGCTCAGGGGTCGCTCCTGGGTCTGCACTCAGGAATTATTACTCCTGGCGGTGCTCAGGGGATCATATGGGATGCTGGGAATCAAACCCGGGTTGGCTGCGTGCAAGGCAAACGCCCTACCCGCTGTGCTATTGCTCCAGCCCCCCCGAACCAACAATTTAACAGCATCTTTTCTGACAGCTCCTGGGGAGAGTGTTTTCTCACCATTTCAGCTCCTGGAGGTCTCCTGGTGCCTTGGCTATGGCCTGTTCCTCCTGTTCTCATAGAAGGCTGAGAGCTCTTCCAGTCTTCACATCTCAGACTCTCCCACCTCCTGCTGCATCCACCTGCACAGCCCTTGGGGTTTTGCTGGCTGCCTGTAATCTCCCAAAAGTGTAATCTCCATCTTGGGGGCGATTACTAATCAGCAACATTGATTCTATCTGCAGCCTTCGCCATACAACATAACATATTCACGGCTTTTGGAAATTCAGATTGGGATCATTCTTCTGATGACCATATCTCTGCTTTCTTCCCACGAGTTCCTCTTGTGCACAGGCATGCACCCACATGCACACATATGTAAGTAGACACACACATACATACATGCACACGCACAAACACATGCACACACGCACACATGCACACATATACACACATATGCACACACATTCTCACATGCACACGCACACACACATGCACACAGATACACACTCATGCACACAGACGTACACGCACACACATGCACACACATGTGTGTAGACACACATGCACACACGCATACACATGCACACATACACATACACACATGCATACAGATCCACACGCACATACACATGCAAATATGTACACACATGCACATATGCACACACATACACATGCACACACACGCATACACACACATGATCACACACATGCGCACATACACACAACCCCACACCTGGACTTTGAGGTTAATTGCCATCATAGCCCTCTCGCCTGACTCAGGAGAGGATGGGCTATTGGGAAATGTGGTCAGGCTGTGAATCCCCTTTAGTGCCCGGGCTCTCAGGAACAAACAGGAACTTTATGGCTTTCATCACTCTGAAAGGATCTTTGTCAGACTTGTGTAAGAGGTAGGCAAAAGGACGCTGCCCTTGGGCTCTGTGGACGCTTCCACAGTCCTGCCCTGGGTCCTTAAAGAAGTAAGCAGAGCCGCTGTTCCTGCTGAGGCTGCTTCTGTTGGCAGGGCTGTAGGCACAGTGCAGGGCTTTTGTCCCAGTGCCACCGGGCAGGGGCTTCCAGGCTACAGTCCGGTTCGGTTGACCTTTGTTCCCTTTCTTCTTCCTGAGACACTGGCGTCCAAGGAGCTGGATCAGCATCTGGGCTCAGGCGCAGAGGAGCAGAGCCCGGGCCATACCGATGAGCTGAGAGCAGGCCCAGGACCGCCGTGTGCCCCACACAGGGACGCCCGGGAGCCTTTCTGCCAGGGACTGCTTGTTGCCCAGGAGGCCCTTACTCCGCGTCTTGTGCTTGGGGCCTGGGAAGAAAGCAGGCACCGCACCCTTTGCTAGCTCTGCAACCAGGGGTCAGCGGACTTTTAACCCTGTAGGGCCAGAGTTTCCCAATCTGTGAAACAGGTCTTCCTAATCAGCATCCTGGGAGGAGAGTAAAATGACTACACATAAATGGTTTAAGAAAAAAAAAAAGAAAAGAAAAAGAAAAGCAAGTTCTCAGCAAGCTTTTTCTGTAACTAACTGCTTGCTCGCAGGGGAGTGGAAGCTCAGAGAGGGTAAGTAACTAGTCTGTGGTCACACAGTCCTGCTCAGGTCTTCCTTTGGGATCCCCCCACCCCCAGCCCCCGGCAAAGCCTGCCTTTCGAGACCATGAAGCTTCCCCCTCCTGACCTTGTTGGTCTTACTGTTAGTGCCCTGCAAGGCTTTGAGAAGGTCTTGCCTTGTTTCCCCGGCAAGCTAAAAGCACACTGGCAGGGTATAGGAAATCCCACATAATCTTTATGGCCAGCATGATACAGTGGCAAGCAGAACACTTTAATTTGTACTTTTTGTTTTTGCAGTGCCAGGCCGGAACCCAGGTCTCGGGCACACCAAGTTGTGTCTCACCACTGAGCCACGCCTGCAGCCTTGTATTGGGAGGATTTTAGCTTATGCCCACAGCCTTTTTTTTTTTTTTGGCGGGGGGGGGGGGGGAGGTCATAGCAAGCAATTCTCAGGGGTTATTCCTGGCTCTGCACTCAGGAATTACTCCTGGCAGTGTTCAGGGGACCTTATGGGATGCTGGGAATCGAACCTGGGTTGGCTGCATGCAAGGCAAATGACCTACCCACTGTGCTATTGCTCCAGTCTCCGCCCACAGTTTTGTATTGTGAAAATTTTAATTTAACTTCGCCAGCACGATCGGGATGGCATGGACCCTGTGTATGGAGCAGTCACCTCCCCAATGCCTAACTAGGTTCATCCTTTTTGCCACGTTCGCGACCATGTGCAGGGCTCCATTCTGGGGAAGCAAGGGACAGAGCAGGAAGATGGGCGGGGGTGGGGGGGACAATGAGCCTGCGGTTACTACCTGGGCGTGAGAAAACGAGTCAGTGTGGAAACTCTCTTGGTGATGCGGGTGTCTGAGCCACCGCAAAGCAAAATCCTAGACCAAGTCCCATACAAGCATTCCTCGGTTGCAGAGGAATGCAATCTCCAGTCCTACAGAGATCTCATGCATCTGAGCCTACTAAGAACCAGCCACTCCATGGTGGTTGGAGGCCATAGCACAGTGGGTAGGGCGTTTGCCTTGCATGCAGCCAACCCAGGTTCGATTCCCAGCATCCCATATGGTTCCCTGAGCATCGCCAGGAGTAATTCCTGAGTGCAGAGCCAGGAGGAACCCCTGTGCAACGCCGGGTGTGACCCAAAAAGAAAAAAAAAAAAAAAGAACCAGCCACTCCAGGCTTATGATGGAGTTTGGATGGCCAGGGAGAGAATTAGGGCAGCTGTCTCATCTGCCTTCATGCCCGGGAGTGGGGGGCATCATATAGTGCCATCAGTGGAGGTCACGGGGTCAGGGTGCCGGGCCCCTCTCTCCAGCCTCACCTGACCCAACCTGGCAGCAGCCACAGGATCTGCTCACGCTGTGGAAACCTTCCTACGGGGGCCTACCCTTCTGGGGACAGCTGTCCTGGGTTGGACCATGGGTCTGTATGGGGTATCTTTCCCCGGCCAGGCTTATGGCCTGCGCTGCTTGTCTTTTCCTGCTTAACAACCCTGGTCAGCTAAGTTTGTGGCAGTGGGTCTGGATGGGGACCAAGGTGGCGGGTTCCCAGAATCCCTCGTGTGCGCAGGCCCAGGGCTAGGGACTTGGGAGAGCAGGACTGTTTGGGACCAAACAGATGCCTTTTTTAATACGTGCTCAAACCCACAGCCCCATAGCTGACGGCTGTCACGTGGCTGGGGTTAAGCCCTTCATATACAGTCTCAGGAGTCTTGGGGCCAGAGTGATAATACAGCGAGTAGGGTGTTTCCCTTGCATGCCGCCAACCTGGTTTTGATCCCCAGCATCCTATATGATCCTCTGAGCATTGCCAGGAGTAATTCCTGAGTTGCAGAGCCAAGAGTAACCCCTGCCGGGTGTGACCCCAAAAAGACAAACAACAACAACAAGGAGAACAATCTCAGGAGTCTCACTGGTTCCTCCTTTGGTTCCAACTCTCAAGCTCAGGCAAGGGTCCAAGCCTTGCCACCCCGCCCGGAAGTGGAAGGGCTGGGTTTCAACACTGTCTGACGCCGCTGAATTTATTGTCTCGACAGCCCACATCCCATTTTACAGAGGGGGGTGGGGAGGACAGTTGCATCTTCTTAGTGGCCTGTGCCCTGGTGGCCTGGGGCTGAGTGCCAGGCCGTCACACTGGCCTTGGTCTTCCAGGCCAATACCAACACGGACCTCAGGCTGGCCGCGGCCAACAGGGCGCTCCTGAGACACCGGGTGCTGCTGGGCGTGACGGACTCCGTGGAAGGCTGCCAAAGCGTGATTCAGGTACTGGGTTTCGGGGGAGGGGGAGGGCTTCCTGTAGGGGCCCCCAGCAGGCCCCTAACGAGGAGAACTAGCCCCACCGGCTCCCCTGGGGGGTGGGTGACTCCTGGGGTTTGATCAGGAGATGGGGTATCTTCAGGCCCTCCCTTTCTTCCCCGTTAGTGGTTCCTCCTGGACACTCCCCTCCAGACTCAACCTAGCAGCTCAGAGCGAGCCTGGGGCAGAGCAGGGTGCAGGGAGCCGGGGCCCCCTCTGTGCCTGTGACCAGGTCAGCTCTGGTCCCTCCACTCAGTTGTTGTCTTTGCCCCGCCGGCAGCGGGGAGATCCTGAGGGACTGACCCCCCACCCCCAAGTCCTGCAGTGACCCGGGGACACAGCTGTGCCTGCCGCCTCTCTCTCATGGTCTTCACACTCATTGCTCTGCGCTGCGTGGGGAGCCCAGGGTGGACCTGAGGTTGGGATCTGGGAAGAAGCCCCTCGTGCACACGGCTAGTTCATTCTACAGAGCGGTCCTGAGGGCCTGCCAAGGGTTGGCAGGCACGTGGGCACTGTTCTAGGTCCTGAGGTTGCAGGGAACAGACATCTGCAGCCTTCTTTGCCATCTAACACAGGGAACCCAGAGCTCCCCAGATGGGGTCACTGGAAGGGGGATGTGCTCGATGACAGGGAAAGGGTCACCTTGCAGGTCGTGGCTGCCTTGGGGCCTCATCCTCTTCAGCCCCATTCTGAGGCTCTCTGAATCCCCTTTATCAGTATGTACTAAGCCTTTAAAAACAAAAAACTTAGAAGATAGTACAGGAAGTAAGGTGTTTGCCTTTCTTGAGGCCTGGTTTGATTTCCTGGCACCCCACATGGTCCCCTGAACACTGCCAGGAGTCTCCTCCTGAACAAAGAGCTGGGAGTAGCACTTGAGTGCCACTGAGAGTGGCTTCCAGACAAATTTTAAAAAAAATAAATAAAAGGTTCTTTCAGGGGCTGGCATGATAGTACAGTGGGTAGTGTGGGGGGTCTGATCTCCGGCATCCCTATGGTCTCCCTAGCACCATCAGAATTCCTGAGTGCAATAATATGAGACGGACACTCAAGGACAGTAGACACAAGGGCCAGGAATATTGCCCTATAGTTGGAAGCCTGTCTCATGAGCTGGTGGAGAAGGCAGCTGGAATAGAGAAGGGATCACTAAGACAATGATGGTTGGAGGGATTGTTTGGGATGGGAGATGTGTACTGAAAGTAGATCAAGGACCAAATGTGATAACCTCTCAGTATCTGTATTGCAAACAATAATGCCCAAAAGTAGAGAGAGAGAGAGAGAGAGAGAGAGTATGGGGGAAATTGTCTGCTATGGAGGCAGGGGGAGGGTTGGGTTGGGGGCGATACTGGGGACACTGGTGGTGGAGAATGTGCACTGGTGGAGGGATGGGTGTTCGATCAATGTATAACTGGAACTCAAACATGAAAGCTTGTAACTGTATCTCATGGTGATTCAATAATAAAAAAAGAAAAAAAGAAGAATTCCTAAGTGCAGAGCCAGGAGGAACCCCTGAGCACCTCTGGTTGTGACCCCAAAAGCCATAAATAAATAAACAGTTCTTTCTTTCTGCCTTAAAGTATAAAATCGTGGGAAGAGATGATACAGGGTCTTGGAGTTTGCTTAAAATCATCAGGGATTGGGTGGGGCGGGGGGTGATGGTGTCCAGAGGGGGAATGGGGTGAGGGTAGAGATGAAACTAGGGCAGCCACGAGCCACTATCAAACCAAAAAGAGTAGCTGGAGGTTAGGGACTGCCTCTGCTCCATTCTGTATATGCTGAGACATTTTCCTAATAAACATCTACTTACTTTTATTTATAATAATAATAATTATTATTATTATTATTATTTTGCTTTTTGGGTCACACCCAGTGATGCTCAGGGGTTACTCCTGGCTCTGCACTCAGGAATTACTCCTGGCAGTACTCAGGGGACCATATAGGATGCTGGGAATCAAACCCGGGTCGGCTGCATGCAAGGCAAACGCCCTACCTGCTGTGCTATTGCTCCAGCCCCAACACTCTGCTTACTTAATTTGTTTTCTTTTGTTGTGGCTTGAGGGCCACATCCAGCAGTGCTCAAGAGGCTACTCTCAGCCATGTGCTTGTGGATTGCTCTTGGTTCTGTGTTCCGAGGATTCTGCGGTGCCAGGATTCGAACCCGGGTTGGCCACGTGCAAGACACACACCCTGACTTCTGTACTGTCTCTCTGGCCACTAAATAAACACTGAACAGAGATTCTCTTGGGAAGAGGCAGTGGGAGAAGACAATGGGACCTAGTGGTTCCTGGGTCCCTCAGCAGGAGGAGGGGCCAGGGTCCAGAGGAAGAGCTCAGTGGACAGAGGTGCAGAATGCTGGCCAGATTCAGCTTGTGGGGAGCAGAGAGTGGCCAGCAGGGAGGACTGTGGCCTGGCAGAGCTGAGCCAGCCTTCTGGGGTCTGTTAGCATAGACAGGGCGGGAGGGGGCCGGGGCGCTGAAGACTTCCTGTCCTGTCCCCCTCCCCACCCCGGGGCTCTGGCAGGGCTTGAGTGCTTCTGTTCGGGTGCACTCGCGTACACCCAGGGTTCCCGACAGAAGGGCGCCGGGCACTGGGTGGTGAAGGTCGTGACCCCAGGCAGATGCACGCGGTTCAGCTGACTTTGCAGTCAATCTGGGGCCACGGCCATTTTCACTTAGGATTGTTTATTATGATTTTTTCATCTGCCTCCGTCCCTGGGTTTGATCCTCTCCAAGCTACATGCCCTGGTTGCTATGGTCATTTTCAACGCGCTGTGGCATTTTTCCAGATTTGCACACAAAGCCCTTTTCTCTCCCAGGCCTGTGGAAACTCAGATCTGGGACTCGCTCCTTGGGAGAGGTCCGGGTGTCGGAGGCAAGAAGGGGCTGGGGGGTGTTAGGATGGACAGTACGAGGTGGGAGCCTCTGGGCTCTGGTGGTCACGGCCTCTTCTCTCCCCAGCTCTGGTTCGTCTACTTTGACCTGGAGAACTGTGCGCAGTTTTTGTCTGATCACGTGCAAGAGATGAAGACGAGCCAAGAGGTGAGCGCCCCTCAGCCTGGACGTGATATGGCCGAAAGGGCCGGGCGCAAGGAGCTCCTTTATGTCTGGGAGCAACTGTAAGGGCCCCTGATTACTGCCAGCAGCCACCCTGAGCACCACCAGCTGGGTGTGCCCCACCCCCCCAAACCGACCCAAACCAAACCACAAACCAGCATTGAACCAGGAGTCTGGTTTCTTAAGGTTGTATTGCTTCACTGTTGAAACAGTGTCTAAGAAAGGGTGAGTTGGAAGGAAGCAAAAAAAAAAAAAAAAAGATGTGGGACAGACACACACACACACACACACACACACACACACACACACACACCTTGTTGATTTTTGGGTTCACCCAGCTGTGCTCAGTGCTCACTCCTGGCTCTGAGGACTTAGGAAACCAGATGCTGTGCCAGGAGTTGAACCCAGGTCAGTTGCAGGCAAGGCAGACGCCCTACCCACTGTGCTACCTCTCCCGCCCGTGCTTATTCATAGCCACACTCTCACTCCTGAGGCTAGGAGAGCCTCGCGGAGGAAAGTGTCAGGTGCTCAACTGGCGTTCCCTTATTTCGAAGGTTCTTGCTGAACACTAATTGATGGGGCAGGTCAGGGAGCTCGTGCTCTGATTTCATAGAGGAGGAAAGTAGAGCTACTGAGAAGTCCTGTTGCTGTTCGGACGCCGGCATGGAGCTGGGGGGTGATGCCTAATTTGGAGGCCGGCGCCCCTTGCTCTGGATCCCTAGGGGCCAGTCTTGGTCCTTGGTCAAAAGTCTCGATCGCTGGTTAACCCTGTCCTGACCCACCGGTTCTTGCGTGGCTTTGGGCTTGAATTGGCCTTTGAGCTTGAACTGGCTCATCTGCAGAGCCCAGAGAGCCTGCACTCAGGCTGCATCCGGTGCAAACGAACACTTGCAAGGAATGAATGTGCTTTAAAAACTCCTAAGGGCCGGCCTCGTGCCGGGAGTGACAGACCTTAGCGGTATGGCTCACTTTCGTATTCTCCCGCAGTCCCTCCAGTATAGAGAGGGTCCCCTCTTCTCTGAGGGGGCCTGAGGCTCAGGGGTGACCCAGGCTCCCTCCCACACACCTTTCCCTCAGTGACATCACACACTCTTTTTTTATAATAATTTTTAAAAAATTTTATTGAATCACGGTGAGATTGTTACAAGCTTTCATGTTTGAGTTACAATCACACAATGATCAAACACTCATCCCTCCACCAGTGCACATTCCCCACCACCAATATCCCCGGTATACACCCCCCCCCTTTCCTACCCTCTCCCTGCCTCCATGGCAGACAATATTCCCCCATACTCTCTCTCTACTTTGGGGCATTATGGTTTGCAATGCAGACACGGAGAGGTTATCATGTTTAGTCCTTTATCCACTTTCTGCACACATCTCCCATGCCGACTGATTAACCCCAAGCATCATTTTCTTAGAGATCCCTTCTCTATTCCAGCTGTCCTCTCCCTGCCGACTCATGAGGCAGGCTTCCAGCTATGGAGCAATCTTCCTGACCCTTCTATCTCCTGTCCTTGGGTGTCGGTCTTGTGTTATGTTATTTTATACTCCACAAATGAGTGCAGTCCTTCTGTATCTGTCCCTTTCCTTCTGAATCATTTTACATAGCATGGTACTCTCCATTGTCTATCCACTTAACAAGCAAATCTCATGACTTCATCTCTCCTAGCAGTTGCATAGTATTCCATTGTGGATATGTACCAAAGTTTCTTTAATTAGTCATCTGTTCTAGGGCACTTGGGTTGTCTCCAGATTTTGGCTATTGTGAACAGTGCTGCAATGAACATATAGGTACAGGACATCACCCACATCTTATTTCCTCCGCAGTCTGTGCTGAGAAGGCGACTGAGTCAGATATGTGTTGTCATGGAGACTGGGGTGAGCCCCGTGATGGGGGCGGAGGAGCCCCAGGACCTGCTGGAGGATGCGCCTCTCCTTCCGGGCAGTCCGCATCCCACGGAGAAGGCGCTCCTGCAGACTGAGCTTCGCGAGCTCGTGCCCGAGGCGGAGCCAGAGGTAAGGGCTCCCTGGCCTCTGGGGCCACTTTTCCATGGGCCTTGTGCAGAGTCCAGGCATTAGGGACTTTGCTTTAGATGGTCAGGATGTAGGTTTGATTCTGGGGAGAGGCTTGCCCACTGTGCTCAGAGCACACTCCTAGCTCTGTTCAGGGGTCTCTGCCAACTGTCCGCCCCGGGGGAGACTGTTTGTGGTGCAAAGGGTCGAATGGGGGTCAGCCGTGTGCAGGGCAAGCCCTGAACTCCTGTGCTGTCTTTGCCCCCCACCCCGGGGATGTATTTTGTCTAGGTGGTCGGAACCATTAGCTCTTCCGGCAGGTGATTTTCAGCCTTCTCCCATTTGTGCTTAAACCTGGAACCTGCAACTAGAATCTGCTGTTTGGGTTGATCAGTTGTTAATTATTTTTTTCTCACTGTGGCATTTAAGTAAAAAGCTTGCAGGCTTGGGGCCAGAGCCATAGTACAGCGGGGAGGATGTTTACCTTGCACAGGGACCACCCGGGTTCATTCCCCAGCATCCCATATGGTCCCCCAAGCATTGCCAGGAGTAATTCCTGAATGTATGGCCAGGTATGGCCCCCCCAAAAAAACCAAAATAAATAAATACATAAATAAATAAATAAAGCTTGCAGATTTGTTTTATACATCCTGAGAATTTCCACCACTTTCAGATGTCTAGACATTCTTTTTTGGTCATCCCATGGGGTATGTCATTGCATGTTGTTGGATCATAGCCATGAAAATGTGGGTAGATATTTGGGGCATTTTTTAATCTCCTTATCAAGATCATCTGTGCATCGAGCGCCTGAAATCGAGGTTGGCAATTTAACTTTCGTACGCATCTCTCAACGGGAGTCCCGCCTTCCTGTTCCAGGCTGAGTTCTCTGGGTCCTGTTTGTTGGACACAGCCAAATGCTGGTAGATGAGAAAGCTGTTCAGGTGGTTTATTGCTCCTGCGGACGCACTGGCTGCAAGATAGGCAAATGTGATGTGATTCAGGAGAGCACTTGCCTTTCCTTTGCAGTCAGCAGAGTTGGAGTGTAAAGGAGGGGCCTGCCCAGAGTCCCCGTTTCGCTCTCAGCCAACGTGAGAGAGGCTGCAAATCAGAATACGAAGAGATGATCCGTATCTTAATCTCTTCCTTGAATCTCATGCCCCCCTCCCCCGCTCTTTATTAAAAGAGCAGATGAGATTGATAAGGTCACATCATTTACTGTGGCACACCTGCCTGGTTTTATTTGAAATAGCCCATTAAAGATGATGGGTCTTTTAAATTATTTTTCAAATTCATCTAAAGCCAGAGGAATACAACTTCCTGTCATGAATATCAAGTCTCCGTGTGTGCACCTGGTTTTTAAAGCAGCTGCTCTTACAGCTGAGCTGGGGAAAGGACCATCAGGATCCAGGCCTCTGCATCGATGAGGCAGTTATGTTTCAGGTGGAACCTGGAGTTTGTGAAAGACAGAGAAATAGTTACAAGGCCCTCTTACTTTTATTTTATTTTATTTTTTGCTTTTTGGGTCACACCCGACGATGCACAGGGGTTACTCCTGGCTCTTGCACTCAGGAATTACTCCTGGTGGTGCTCAGGGGACCATATAGAATGCTGGGAATCGAACCCAGGTTGGCCACATGCAAGGCAAACGCCTTACCTGCTGTGCTATTGTTCCAGCCCTAGACCTCTTACATTTAAACAGATTTTTTGTATTTTGTTTTGTTTTGGGGCCAAACCCAGCAGTGCCCAGGGGACACTCCTGGTTCTGTACTTAGGAATCACATGACAGGGCTCGGCGGACCATAAGGGGTGCTGGGGGTTGAATCCCATTGGCCTCCCGGGAGGTAAGGTGTTTACCTGCTGGACTATTGCTCCAGCCCCAAACAGATTTTATTTTACTTTATTTATTATTTTAAAGTATTACAAAGCCGTTCATGATTGGATTTCGTCATGTAGTATTCCAACACCCATCCCTCTCCATACCAGTGTTCATTTCCCAGCACCAATGTCCCCAGGTTCCCTCCCATCACCCCAATCCCCTACCCCTTGCCTACCTCTATGGAAGATGCTCTTCTCTCATCTCTCTGTCTCTGTCTCTCTGTCTCTGTCTCTCTCTGTCTCTATCTCCCCCCCTGCCCACCCCCTTTTGGGCATTGTGATTTGCTACATTGATACTGAAAGGCCCAAACAGATTTTTAATCATGCTTAAAACCTTGTGTGAATGCTTGAGTTGTGAGTTGTTTTCCCTTTTTCCTTGGTGCGGGACGTCGGGTGCAGAGGTCAGCTGACTTTCCCAAGCTAGGAACAAGGAGGAGTGGGCTAAGGCTGGCGCCTCTCGTGACTGCTTCTGAGTTGGCCAGTTTCCCCCTCTGTGTTCTTGGCTTCTTCCCTTCGTGGTTTTATGGGCAGGGGTTGAGAAGACTCGTGTCTCTGAGTGGCAGACACTCAGTGTGTCTCCTTTTCCGAGTGCAGAGTCTGGCTCAAGCACTGCAGCAGAGCAGAGCAGACTGTGCAGTGATGATGTTGGTGATTATGTCGATGCCATCCACTGCACTGCATGCTGGACTTGCTGTGCATCTCTCCCTTTCCTCCTCACTCCAGTTAGATGCTAGGCTTTCTCGCTGATGCAGCGCAGCACTTAGAAACCATCATTCTACCTTTTTTTTTGGTGTGGGAGGGCAGGGGGTGATACTTAGATTCCACATTGTTTAACTTGGAAGTAGCCATTTACCATTAAACATTGAGCTTAAGTGTATTTTGGCCTTAGAGGTTTCTGAAAAGCAAAGATTTTTTTTTTTTAAAAGCACCTCTTTTTTTTTTGTGGTTCCCCTGGGAACTGAACCCAGAGCCTTGTGCCTGGGAATTGGCCTTGCTGACGGGTCACCCTCTAGATGTCTCTGCTAAGGTGAATCAGACAATATTTGTCTTTTTTGTGATAAATCCAGATTTGGCGGGAGAATTTGGAGCCACACTTGGTGGTACTCAGGGACTGTCCCACGACTCAGCGCTGGGGGCACGGGGTGGGGGTCACTCCTGGTAGTGCCCAAAGGACCACACAGTGCAGTGCAGTGCTGGGAGATGAATGGAACCTGGGTCTCCGTGAATGCATCTTCTCAGCCCTTTGAGCTGTCTCTCCAGGCCTCCTGATAAACAACTATTATCAACAGAGAGAGAGAGAGAGAGAGAGAGAGAGAGAGAGAGAGAGAGAGAGAGAAAGAGAGAGAGTCCTACACTAAGTTCTGCTCAGGGCTTAGTTCTGGCTCAGTGCTCATTGATGACTCCAGGTGAGGCTCGAGGGCACCATAGGTGATGCCAGAGGTATAACCCAGGTTGGCCCCGTAGAAGGCAGGCAGGCTCCCGTAGTGGCTTTGTCTTTGCTCCTGCCTGCATCAGCACAGTGTTAAAACACTCTGAGCCCTGGGCTGCAGACCAGACCCCTTGCATGGAGGGGAGAGAGAGAGAGAGAGAGAGAGAGCTGTCATCCTGAGACATTGTCCCCTGGGCCGGCTGCCGGCGATGTTCAGGTGCCCTGACCCTGTGCATGGTAGAGATGTGAAGTTGTGTGTGTGTGTGTACGTTTGTGTGTGCACGTGTGTATGAGAGAGCACGTGCCATGTGCTGTTGGTCATCCCCAGCCAGCTCCCTAGGGCACTGAGCCCCCTGGCTCCCTGGTGCCCGCTGCTCCCACTTATCTGGGGTCAGATGAGCCGCCTGGGGAAGAGGAACCCGAGGCCGTAGGTGCCTGGTGGAGTGTGAGTGGCAGAGCTGGGGATCCAGCTGGGGCATCTTCCGTGGAGCTTGGCCAAGGGTCTCCAGAGAGCATCCTGCTGATGTGAAGGGCTTGGCCCCCCTGTGGCACCCACAGGGGTGCGTCTCGGTGGCCCCCACTCTGTTCTGGTCTCTTCCAGGAAATGGCTCAGCAACTGCTGGCGGTGTTTGGCGGCTACTACATCCGCCTCCTGGTGACCTCGCAGCTCCCCCCGATAGCAGGGCCGCGGCACACAGACTCCCCGACGGTTCCATGCCCCTGCCAGCTCATAGAAGCCCACGTCCTGGGCACGGGGTGCTGCCCGTTCCTGGCCAGGTGACCGTGGGACAGACTGCAGGTGAGCGTCAGGGAGAGCTCACATGGCGAGGGTTGCATAAGGAAAGATCTGGGGGGTGCTCGGGGGTGCCAGGCACACCCACAGCCAGCGGAGAGAGTCAAAGTGTCGTGCCCTCTCCTGGACCCTGCAGGGACACAGAACAGTTTGTCAACCGCCCACACCGACCCCTGGCCTTTCTGGAAGCGGAAGTCCCTGAGCGGGCCCTGTCCTGGGCTCCTGGGGCAGGATGGAACAGCTGTACCCACACCTTTGGCTATCTGGAGAGCCCAGAACATGTGAAGATAACCAGAGGAGGGGCCAACCTGGTGTCCACTCTTGTAGTCTCAGGACATGCTCCCATCCCCCGTACCTTCGTGCCGAGTGGGGAAACTGAGGCTCAGAGAGGACACTGCCTGGGACCTCTTGGATGGTACGACCACCTGCCTGTTCCCAGGTGAGGAACAGCCAGCTTGGAATGTTCTCCTGTGCTCAGTCTTCTTCCCGTCTGGTTTGTCAGGCCAGTGGCCCCCGTTCCTGCTGTGTATGAGTCACGCTGGACGAACCTTCCACAGCTGCACCGGATGGAGCCCGTCCGACTCCAGGGCCTGAGCGCGGGTGATGGTGTTTCTGGCTGCACATGTGGAGTGTCCATGCTGCTTTCTGATGGCCACCCCGTCCCCAGTGAAACCTGGTTCCTCAAGAAGAGCTGCGAGGTGCCGGCTTCTGTGCTGCCCAATGTGTGGGACACCCCAGGCCAGAGATCCTTCTCAGAGGCAGGCGGAATAGTTTCTCTGGGCTGGAGCATTTGCTTTCTATGTAGGAGGCCCCCATTGGATCCTGATCACTGCCAGATGTGACCCCCAAGTCAAACTCGCTCTGCAGTGGAAGACTCCCCAGCCTCCGAGACACGGTCCTTACCTGCAGCTTAAACTTCACCCCCCACAAAACTCCTTCATAAAGGGGAACTCCTGCACGGACGTCCCTAATCTTTTCCTGTCTGTGGGACTCCGAAGCCTGCTTCAGAACCTGTCTTTACTTGGCCTTCCTGCGGGAAGCGTTTCAACATCACTAGCCTGCTACTGTCTGCCTCCTTTGAGTTCTTGATGTTTAATGATGATGAATGATGTTTAATGCTTTTAAAAAAAATTTCCCGTGCATGTACCCATTTTTCTAGCTGGATTCTCTGTTCTTAAGGTGAAATACAATACTTTATATATATTTTTGTGCATGGCCCTGACCTGGTGTTGAGAAAAAGAAATCGTGTGAATTGATTACTTTGCCATCTTCACGAGAGAACTAGTTTCTGCCCAGGTGCTGTTTGCCTAAAGAGGAGCCTGGCACAGCCCTGGGTTCTGGTCCTGATCTGTCCCTTTCCCCTATGTGGCTTTGGTCTGGTTTTCAGTTTACCCACTTACACTATGGCTTGGTTATATTAGATGATGGATGCTTCTTAGTGGCCCCTTTAAAGCCAAAGTTCTGGCCAGCTTTTTCTTTCTTTCTTTCTTTTTTTTTCGAAGGGGGGTGGGGTCACATCCAGTGATACTCAGAGGTTACTTCTGGCTCTGCACTCAGGAATCACTCCTGTGGTGCTTCAGGGACCAGATAAGATGCTGGGGATTGAACCTGGGTTGGCTGCATGAAAGGCAAGCACCTTAACCACTGTACTATATATCTCTAGCCTCCTTTTCAGTTTTTTTCTGTACCATTCTGTCTCTTGGTCTGCTTGTCTGGTAAGCCTTTATTCTCATTAAAGACCACCCTCGCCCCTGCTGAGGGGCCCCAGAAGAGATGAGTCTCTGGACGGACCTGCTGATGGGAGAGACGGTTCTTACCCCAGACCACTGTGGGTCCTCGGCAGGTCGCTGAACTCTCTCCCAGCGTCAACTGTCTGCTTTACAGACTGAATCTGGTGAACATGAGCTATAAAAACGCAACAGTGATTGCGCACAAAACGGGAGTGGTGAGGCTGCTTTTTCTGTTTTCTCTGGGCTGGAGGAAAATGTCTTCAGAGTAGCCCTGGGACTGGCTGTTGCAGGCATATCTCATGAGCCAGCCCGAGGGCATCTTTGCTCAGTGAGAGTTATTCAGGTTGGAGGTGGTCCCTACCTTTCTCTCCTGCCTGAGGAAAGAGGGCAAAGAATGAGGCGTGCATTTATCTCCTGTAGGTAAACCCGGTAAGGGGAATAAACTTGTTGTGTGGCAGTGCTTGGGGGACCATATGGGATGCTGGGAATCAAACCCAGGTCGGCCACGTGCAAGGCAAACGCCCTACCCACTGTGCTATTGCTCCAGCCCCTATCAGTGAATGGTTTATGGTTTGTTTGTGGCTGCTTGGGGCTTCTTCCTGGCTCTGCACTCAGGGATCACTCCTGGTGGTGCATGGGGGACCATCTAGGGTGCCGGGGATGGACTCTGGGCTGTTTGTGTGCAAGGTGACTTACAGAGGCCCTGTACTATCCTGCCAGGCTGTACGATCTCTCCAGCCCTCATTTTTTCAATGTCAAAGGCTCCTCACAGAGCGTGGGAAGGGTTCTCAGCTTTTTCTCTTTAGATTTTTCAGGGTCTCCCTTGGGTTGGGGCAAAGGGAATTCAGGGTGTGCACTCCAGCTCTAGTTTGCATCCATGCTTCCTCTTCAGAAAGCCCCTGTGATCTCCGTCATGCAGGCTTCCCAGGGATGAATCATCAGAGCTCCACGTTCTCAGGCGCTGCGCTAATGACAGGCCTGGCTACAGGGTAGCCAGGCCAGGTCCCAGAGTGAGGATTTGGGGGCAGAGAGCCCAGAGCTTGACCTCTCATGCTTTCAAATCCTGGTCCCGCAGCCCCAGCTCGGAGGTTGCAGTGTCCTCGTTCTTGGCTCTCTCAGCCCGTCTATGGGACTGGAAAAACAGAACCTATTCGGCAGGTGGTTGATCGTAGTATGGAACACACTCTTCCCAATGTCAAGGGCTTACACACAAACTGTGAAGTGCTTGAGTTCCAGGCCTGACTCAGAGCTCAATAAACCATAACTATTTTTCAGAAACCTCGTGCTCTGTCTTATGACTCTTTTGTTCTTCCTGGGGTGGCTCATTAACAGTGTTAATCAGTCTGCATCAGATCTCCATCTCTTCTGCATCAGGGGGTATAATTAGGTGAATGAGCTACTCATCAGAAGCTGAAAATTCAGGTCCAGGAGACAGAGTTAGTCTAGCAGGCAGGTGGTGATTTTGATGCCCTTCCCCATACTTTTCCCCGATAGAGGCACACTGTCGGGAGTTTTCCAGGGCCCTGCAGCCAGAGGTGCTTGGGGTTAGGGGTGGGGGTGAGGGGTGTGGGTAGGCAGGGGAAGGGTTGGCCCAACGGTACTTGTGAAAGTCGATTTATTCCCAAGCTTGTGGGTTCTTGAGAATTGTATAGAAAGAAGATTTGCATACAAAACTCATATGTGGGGCTGAAGAGATAGTACAGCATCTTAGAGGGAGATTGCTTGCCTGGCACGTGGCCAGGTTCAGTCCCTGGTATCCCATAAGGTTCCCTGAGCACCACCAAGAGTGATTATAGAGTGACCAGGAATAACCCCTGAGCATCGCTGGGTGTGGCCCCCCAAAACAAAACCCAGATGCTTAAGAAGTCCAAGTTTATTGTACAGTTCAAGTACATGAGTCTGGGTCTTTCCTCCAATGCGCTGTCCGGTACCTCCATGCCTGGTCTGTTCTGTCCCTGTCCCTGTCTGTCTGCCCCCTTCCAGTACACGGCAGCCCCGTCTTATCCTTCTGCTGCTTTCCAGCCACTGTGTGCGTCTCTGATTGGGCAGCTGTCACATGTGTCCCCTCACGGGGCTGCTGCTCTGTTACCTGTCAGCTGGGCCTCTCTAGGACTGTACCCCAGAAGCTCCCCATGCCCCCCAGCTTTCCTTCGTCTCTAGTCACGTACCTGTGGGTGAGACCCCTGCTGTCCTGCCGTCTGGGTGCAGGTGAGGGGGCAGAGAGCTTTGTCTGGGGCGTCCTTTGATCTCCTGGTGCCACCAAGTCCCAGACAACCCATTACCTGCTTTGACTAGAGAGCGGAGGGCAGGTGAGATTTCAAACGACTCATCAGATGCACTAATTCCCCGGGAGCTTCTCCCTTCTACGGTCCAGGTCCCTCCACATAGCTGGGGGACCACCAAGGCCATACCTAGTGATGCTGGGAGGCAGCTCGAGGGCCGCCCCTGGTGATGCTGGAGGGACGATGCCTGGGATGGACCTCGGGGGCCTCACCCTTGCTAATTAGAGGCTGTGCTGCTGGAGCCTTGCCCTGGCTCAAGCTGGTGACTTTGGGCCAGATACCCAGCTACCCGCTCAGCTACTCCTGGACCTCCATTTCCTCTTCTCCTGGGGGGTGCGGTAATCCTGAGGGGTAGGAACTGAAGCACAGGCCTGCCCCATGGATTCTGGGAAGGGCTCAGGGCCTCAGGGCTCCATAGCCGCCACGCCCCCCCCCCCCCCCCCCCCAAAGTGGCCTCTGTTTGCATTGTGCAGTTGATTTTTATTGTGTTTGTTTTGGGGCCACGCCCAGTGCTCAGGACTTACTCCTGGCTCTGCCCTTGGGGGTCACTCCTGGCTGTGCTATATGGGATGCCCGGGATGGAACCAGATCTGCCACATCTCTCCCATCCCACTCATTCATTTGGGTTTTTGGAAATGTCCTGAGTGATGAGAGCCACCGGAGGGTGTGTGTGTGTGTGTGGCGGGGGTTACTTAATGGGGCCACCCATGGGGCCTTACCCAAGAACGAAGACTGGTTGCTATGGGAACCACTTGTGTGACAGGGCGTGGGGACTTTCACACCTCTTCCCCCAGCCTCTACTTCCCAGGAAGGAGAGGGACAGACACTGGAGATGGAATTCCCTCCCCTGAGCACAGAGATAGCTGTTCTCATCTCATGCCCCCACCCCATCCCCCCCCACCCCGTGGAGGTGTAACTATTGGAGGGGGGGGCTAGGGAACGGTGACTGAGGTGGTGGGTGCCAGGGAGGAGGGAGGGAGGGACCCAGTTTCTTGATGAGACCTATTTAATTGGAGGCAGCTCCCCACACAGTGGTCTTTTCAGCGGGGTGACTTGCCAGCGACCCAGGGATGGCTCCGACGTCTTCTCCTCCAGGGGAGTTTCCGAATCCGTCTTCATGCCCCCGGGCACTTCCCTCTCCTCTCTGAGTCATTCCGGCTGCTGGGAGCCGGCATGAGGGCAGTGACTAGAACTTTCAGGGTCTCCCTCGGCAAGTCCTGGGCACCCACCTGGGGTTCTGGCCATGTACAATTTGAATGCTTTGTCTCCTACGGTCTGAGTTCGGATCTGCAAGAGTGAAGGAATATCTTTATCCCATGCACCAGCTGGGACGGAGGCCAGAATCACTGTTCCTCACCGCCCCCCCCCCCCCCCCCCCGGGGCCCTTCTCTGCTCTCAGAGGTGCTTAGAGCAGCCCCAAATGGGTAAATGGTGGAGTGTGCGCATGCGCATGTGTGTATTCCTGAGTGTATGTGTATGTGTGTGTCTGTGTGTGCATGTGTGTGTGTGTCCGTGTATGTGTGTGTGTCTGTGTGTGGATGTATATGTGTGTCTGTGTGTGTATATATCAGTGTGTGTCCATGTGTGTATGTATCCATGCGTGTATATGTGTGTGTGTGTATGTGTCTATGATTTAGTTATTCATGGTTGAGTTTTAGACTGACAATGTTGCAGCACCAATCATCACCAATCATACATACCACCAGTGTCAACTTTCCTCCACCATGATTGAGATTTCCTTTTTTTTTTTTTTTTTTGGCCTATTTTTGGCAGTGTTCAGGGGCTACTCCCAGCTCTGTGCTTGGGCTGGGAATCACTCCTGGTGGTGGTGTAGAGACCCTGCGGTGCTGGGAATCGAACCTGGGCCTCCTGCATGCAAACCATGCCCTTACCCCATTTCCCCCTCTCTCTCAGTATCTCCGGGAGGCCCAGATGGTCCTTCTGTTGGGCACAGAGTCGACTTTAGTGGGTTTCCACTGCTACTCCAGGGCTGACTGCAGAGCCCTGGGAACTTTCTGCTGGTTTGCAGAAAGTCATTGTAGCTTTACGCATGATGCGCCTGGATTACACGGCGGCACTGTCATAAATATTGATGCCTACGTGTTCTCTGGGGGCCCCACCTGATAGTGTTCAGCGCCAGCTTCCGCTTGTGCTCCAGGTCTCTGCAATGCTAGGAATCCAAGGTGGGTGGAGGGTGTGTGTGTGTGTGTGTTGGGGGGGGTGTTCCTACATGTGAAACACATGCTCCTGCCCTCTGAGACATCTCAGCCCCGGATATTCTTATTGTAAGTAGCATTTTTTTCCTTTCAGTTTTTGCATTAGTGCTTTGTGAAACGGTTGTGAACACTAAGCCATTGTTATTTCAGTGCTGACTCACGCTGGGCAGTGCCCCTCCACCGTCTCTAAAAATACTTTTATTTTCACAGATATAAAATGGCTGAAAACCATGGGTT